CTAGGCGCCAAGTCCCGCCCCTTCCGGACCGCCCCCTCCGCGCCTTCAGTGGTCGAGGTCCCGCCTCCCGCAAGCCCCGCCCCGGTGCCGCCCAGACCTGGGGCAGAGCGATGCTGAGCTGGCGCTGCAGCGAGTCCTTCTCGTGGCCCAGCTCGCGCAGCCGCAACTGTGCCGTAGCCAGCCCGTCCTGCGCCTCGCGCAGCGTCTCCAGCAGGCGCTCGCGCTCCGTGAGCATCGTGACCATAAGGCGCTCCAGCTCGCCGCCCGCCTCGTCCGGGCCCAGCGCCGAGCCCCGCCGGCCATCCTCGCTGATGGTGGGCATCACCTCGCACATCATGGCGGCGGTGCTGGCCTGCGGGAGTGGGGAGGGGGCAGGGAACAGAGACCGGCCTCGTCGAGAAACTGAGGCACGGCCATTCGGATACTACATGGTGGAAACTGAGGCGGGGCAACCCAGGCTTTGTACTGAAGAAACTGAGGTCCATCCATTCTGATCATGGCACAGGATAAACTGAAACCCATTGCTCTCACGAAATCAGGCCCAGCTACCTAGGTGAGAGCATCTGGGGAAACCGAGGCCAGACGCCATCAGGCACTGGCAGCAAATCTAGGACCAGTCTAGTCAGAGAAACCAAAGCCAGGTGACCCATTGCCTGAGTCAATATGGGAAAATCAGTCTCTCCCTGTTCTGACCCTGCTGGGGGCCGGCATTAACCCACTGCATGAGTGAGAAACCGGAAGCTCAAACGAGAACCATGCATTCAGGAGGCCAAGGAACTGGGGTCACAGAATTAGGTCAGTGGCACCGTATAAGGTCACAGGGATGTGACCTATACAGCCCAAATCCTGCCCTCAATTTTCCAGGTATCTGGATCCCAGCTCCAGAAGAATCTAAAAACCACTCCATTTGCTAGCCATCTCCCACAGCCTAGGAGTCCAAGATCCAGCTCCCTCCTACCTCAGGTCACAGGAGGCTAGGTCCCCAATTCCCTTCTTTCCCCTAGACCCAGGAGTCTGAGCCTCCAGCCGCTTCTTCCCCAATCCTGGGGGTCAGACAGGGACACAAGAATCTGAGCTTTCAGTCTCCAACCTCAGACCCAGAAATCCCAGCCTTCAGACCCCTCTTCCCCCAGAACCTAGGAGTCCAGGCCCCCAGGTCTCAGGAATCTAGGTGCATGAGCTGTGGGCGGAGATAAAGGGAGGTCTCCTGAGCCGCTCCCTCCACACACATCAGGTCAGACGGGTCCAGCTGGCCCGGTGGAAAGCAGAAGTGACTTTCGCTCTGTTCCCTCCTTTCCTTCTGTCCCTTCAGGCAGCAGCATAACCGGTTCTGAGAGTGGATAGTTCCCAGCCCCACCCAATGTGCAGACTATGTCCAAAACCTGGAACTGGGGTCTTGGACTCCAGTGAGAAGAGGAGGGGCTGAAGGGCCCTGGAACCTGGGAGAGGAGGCAGACAGTCGCCTTGGTCTTTGAAGAGGTACACCTGGGAATCTAGACACCGGCATGCCAGCACTCAGAGGCCAAACTCATGACAATGTTTATAAGGAGACCGGTCAAGACCAACATCGTGTCTAAAACCCAGAACCTACTCAGGAGATGCAAACAGGATGTTTTAGAGAAGCCGCTCCAGAACTTCAAATGCACTGAGAAGGAAATGAGATTTAGCAAGGCTGGATGTAGAATCTAGAAAGCCACTGGCGTGAATACAGCACAGAGGGCGGAAAATGTACAGTAAAATCCTCACATAGGGCTAAGGAGAGGGAGGGGCACATTCTAGAACCCAGACCTAGAATCTTGAACCAGCCAAAAGCAATCCAATATGTTAAAGAGTATCTGGGTCACCCAAGAACCCTGAACACAAAGGGGTGCAGAATGATATCTAAGAACATACCTAATGCAATGCATAACGAACCCAGTCAGGAGAAATAATCTAGAAAGTGACACCTACCAGGGATGCAGGTACAACAAAGAACAAATCAGGAGCCACACTCTTAGCTTTATCATGTGTCTACATGATAGACAGAAGGGAGAAGATATGCTTCAGAATTGAGCGCAGGCCCTGGAGGTGGGAAAAAACCCTAGAAAGTAGCAAGGAGTCTGCCTGGAACTTAGAAGTGCCTGGGGGAAGATGCAGAAGCATGCTGGGAATTGGGAATTTACTGGCATAAGGACTGAGCTGGCAAAGGAAGGGGGGAGAGATGTTCTGGAAATGAGGACATTTCTAGCTGAAGACTCCAAAAAGAGGAGATGAGCCTAGAGCCTGCTAAGAATGCTAAAGTAGCAGATGGAGGAGGAAGCCCACGATCCGCCAGGAGATAAGTTCTACACAAAGGTCACATTAGGGAAAAGATGGACAGAAAAGGTGGGAATGGATGGGCCTAGAACCCAGTACCTGCAAAAGGGGGAAGACGTACAACATTTCAGTGGGGATCCTTTAGATTTAAGACCGCAGAATTGGACTGGAACCTAAAACAGGAAAGTGCCTTTTAACATTGATAGCCCAATTTGGAAAAAAGCTAGAGCCCATAACTGGAACACACATGTTCTAGAGTGTAGAATGTCCCCGGGGAGAGAAAGGAATCTAGAACAGTGCCAAGGATGTGGCTGAGCCTAGAACACACCTAAAATAAAATTTTCGCAGAGAATCGGCAAGTTCTGGTTTCGAAAGATTTGGAACACGTGTGAGGAGAAGGTGGGATCAGCATTTAGCTTGGGGGCACTACCAAGATATTTGAATTCCTTAGGGACACACACGCCTAGAATTGACCGCCTAATCTAGAATTTAGAATATACCTTGGGTGAAAACGGAACAGAGATATTGACTGAGAGTGTTCTCAGATTTAGAATGAATCTAGAGCATTGCAAGAGCACAGTTTAGCCGGAAATATGGAAGATAGCGGGTAGGTTCTAGATCATCTGATGAACCTAGGTCACAGAACACATCTAGAGGAAGGGGTGTATGTTTGGCTCATCAGCCTGAGAAGGTGTACTCGGAGGATGAGACATCATAACATAGGACCATCTTGATGGGGTGTTGGAAACATCTCAGGAAGCTGGGTCTCAGGGAAGAGAGTAGAGAGCCCCCAGCACCTGAGATGATATGGGGACGAGGCAGGGGTTTGTTAAGGCCAAGGGAGATGTCAGGTAGATGGGGTTTGTGAGGCTGTGGGAACCTGGGTTCCTAAGAGTTAGAGCTAAGGGTCTAGACACTTGGTGGGGGCCTGGACTCCTGGAGATAAAAGACAGGGGATGGAAGCTCGGAGCCCAAGTCCTTGCTGGGAAGGAGGGCTGTGGCAGGTGGCTTCGGTGAGCAGTACAGAAGCTGGGGTCTGAACCCCTGGGTCCCTGAAGGGGATACAGAACCTGGGACAAAGCATCTAGGTCTCCAAGGGGGGAAGGTGGGCAGAAGGCAGAGAATTGCATTAAGAATTGCATTCCAAGCCCCTGAAAGGGAGAGAGTCATGGTGCCTGAATCCCTAATCAGGCAGCCGCTGGGGTGCCAGGAATCTGGGTATAATTGCCTGAGGGGCACAGGGGCTGCTGAACTGGGTTTCTAAAGGGGGCAAGAGCTGGGAAACTGGATTCCCAGGTCCTGAGGGGCTGGGGGCTACCAGCTAGAGCCTTTAGGCAGACGGAGTGAACACTGACAGGGTTCCCAGAGTCAGGTGGGAGCTGAATCCCTGGGTGCCAAGGTCCCTGAGGTGGACTAGGCAGGAACATTCAGAAGCCCTGACTCCTCGAGAAGCAGCTGGGGTCCCAGAAACCTGGGGTACTGAGGACGCGGCCGAGAGGCTGGCCAGAGGAGCCCTGAGGCCCAGGCGCCCGGGTCAGAGAGGGCCCGGGTATCTCCGGGTCAAAGGCGCGGCTGGGGGGATCCCGGCGCCGCAGGCGCCCCCTCCCCGGCGGCAGCAACAGCAGGAGGTGGGGGAGGTGAGGCTGCCGAGTGAGCTGACCATGGACAGCTCCAGAGCGGGCCTGTGTCCAGGGCGGCCGCGGAGCCGGCCTGGACTGAGGGACCGGG